TGCTGCTGCTGTGTGCGGACAGCGCGGCCACGGTCGGCCCTTGCCGGCCGTCCGGCAACAACTCATGAACAATCTGACTTTAAATGGCATGCATGAACACAAGAACTGATTTAATACTGAAAACATAAACTTTAGCTCAATGAACGGAACTTGGCCGCGGGGGACGCACCGTGCGCCGCCGACGGCGTTAAGCCGTTTTACGACCGAACTTCATTTTTTCTCGGCCAATCAAACTTAACTGAACATGATCAATGATTACTGAATAAATTCACATAAAGTGCTCGAGGAAAATGAACTTAACATACTTGACACTCGCGTACAGCCCGTGGTGCGCTATATGCGCGACCACGTCCCCTCGGCCGAACACCGCAAAACATGAATAATCCTCCGAACACTTAAGCTAATATGAACATGATATTACATATAAAAGCTAAACATACGAAGATTGCTCGGAGAATTTCAATTTGAACATGACATGACTCGACATGGCCTCTCGCACGGCCTTAACGACAAAAGACACGCATGAAAGCTGGAACTAAAAGCTGAATTTAATAAGCATGATAATCTCAGCCTATAACTGCCGGGAATTACCTCCAACTAAGCTCGAGCGATAAGACTCCTCGGGTTCCCGTGATCGGCGTGACCTTCCGCGTGCGTGATGCCGTCGTGCGGTGCGATTGCGTGCGATAGCTAGCTGTGCGACGTACGATACTCTCGGCTAGCGGGTGCAATGGAATTCTCCCTTCCAATCTCTCAAACTCACTAACTCTCTCTCACTCTGCTATATATATTAGGTGTTGAAGATGGTAAATATAAGAGGAATAAAATGGGAAGCAAAATTCCCAAACTCCACTCTATTTATATTACCGAATGATGGAGGTGGAAATGATGAGTTAATTTGGAGGTTACTTGGGCTAATGACACTTGGAGTGAAGCAAGACTTTCTTAGGTGACTAATCACCAAATTAGTCCTCATAATGCCACGTATTAGCCTCTAAAATGAAGACCAATTTCATGACTTAAAAGATGGAATCCGTACGGCATTTTACATGTATTTGGAAAAATTCCATACGACTAATGGCTTAATTATGTGATTAATTACTAATTAATCACTTAATCATGTTTAATTATTTAATTAAACAAAATGCTTAATTACCAAAATTATTCCGGACATAAACGGTACGTCAAAAATAATTTTCGGTAATCTCGACTGAAATGACTGAAAATAATTAATTCCAAAAATTAATATCGGAACTAAAATCATAATTTATACTGATAAACTGACGGGATATTATAGATAACATATGTTTATCGCCCCATCGTGTTTTGAAACAAAATGGTACACGATTAAGAAAGTCGAGGAAAATAAGGGTAAATAGGGGCAAGTACAAAAATGTAAGCAACATGTCCAGTAAGACTTGTTTTCGAACACAAGACCATTATTTGATGTGGATAACATATATTTATTGCCCCATCGTGTTTTGAAACAAAATGGTACACGTTTAAAAAAGTCGAGGAAAATAAGGGTAAATAGGGGCAAGTATGAAAATATAAGCAACGTCTCCAGAAAGACTTGTTTTCGAACA